GAGAGAGAGAGAGGGGGGGAAGCCATTGCAAGGCACCGCCTCGGGACCCAGCGCGAGACGCCGCGGCGAGAAGAGAGCACAGCGCGCTGGCGGCCGGCCGCCGCGCGAGGGCGGACGCGGACGCGCCCGCCCACCCGCAGCTCGTGCTGTACGGAGATCAGATCTACAACGCGACGGGGCGATGCGTGAGGTGCGGCGGCTTTCCGAGGCACCATCGCATCTTCGTGTGCAATAGGCCCTGCGGTATCATGCCTTGCATGCTGGTCAGCGTGTACCGCATGCATGGGACCGGCGTGCTCACCAGGTGCTCCGTCTGCCCGAGGCATCACCAACCGCCGCCCATGATGGGCGACGTTGTGCACCCCCAGTGATGGAGAGGAGCGAGGATGGAGAGGAGCGAGGATGGAGAGGAGCGAGGATGGAGAGGAGCGAGGATGGAGAGGAGCGAGGATGGGGAGGAGCGAGGATGGGGAGGAGCGAGGTCGGGGAGCAAGAAAGTGGAAGGCGGAGAGAGGCACTCGGGAGGCGTGGACGTCGCGAGATGTTGAAATTTCCTTGTTTAGAAGCGACTCGAGAGCTTGAGCTGTTTCTTTTTCGTTTTATTCGGTGTTTTCCGTCACCTCCGCCGTAAAGCACCTCGACTTTCCCTTCACCGTTACACACATCTCCGCTGTCGGTTCATCCATCTCGATTCAATTCAACGACCCTCCCCCTTCCCCTCCTTCCTTCTTCCCCCCCTCCCCCCTCTTAACCAGCCCCAAATGCTCCTCAACTTACATTCGATTCCCTCATTTGTCACCTCCCCCGCGCCTCCCTCCCACCGACACGACCACCTTCGCTTCTCCCATGGCTCGCGGCAGTGCATCTCCGTGGCAGTGCATCTCCGTGGCAGTGCGCCCCCGCAGCCCCCCCGACACTGCATTGCAAATGCATCTCTACCTCCGCACTCCACACTTGCTCCCTACCCATGCACGACCCATATCGTATAAATACGCCCCTTCCCCTCTCTCACCCGCCCGCTTTCCTTCCTCCCCACACATTTCGGACGTTCAGAGTCTCAAGTGTTTAAACTCAACCGCCAGGTTTTTCCTCGCAAAGCCCGAGCCGTCTCGTTTTTTTTGCCACTAACAAAGTCGATCGATGGTTCTGGAACCTGCTTGCCACAAGCTCGCCCACTCGTCAAAATGGTACGTACTTTGTATTCTTCTTTCGGTTAACTTGTTTTGCGTCGTCAGCTCTCTTGCTACCGACAACCTCGACTCGGATCTTTCTATCTTGCCGCAGTTGCCCTGGGATACAGATCTTGATGTCGAAATTCTTTCTACGCATGACACCGCTGTCCCCTCTTTTGCGGACCATCAGGAGGACGGCCTTGACGGCGAAGTTCTGTCTACGGATGACACCATTGTCCCCTCCTTTGCCGACCATCAGGAGGACAGCCTTGACGAGGACGACCTCGAAGACGACCTCGAGGACGACGAGGATTCATTTTTCAGGAAGGACCACCAGCTCGAGGAAGCTCTATCGGACTTTGTTGTTGAAGTCGACCAGTCTGCTGCCTTTGACCCCGCTGCTCGCGTCTTTTACCACGGTCGCCCGGAATGCTCCCGCTGTTCGCACGCGCACAAGTGTCACACGGGCTTGGACTGCTGGAACTCAAGGTGCGTCTACCGGACCCCAGCGTCGAGAACCAAGTGCTTCCCCGCCTTAAGGAGAGAATGCGCGCCGTGCACGCACGTGAACCATTGCCCTGCAGGAATGCTGTGTTTGAGGAATAAGTGCACGTTCAAGAACGGCCTATCCAAGACCAAGTGCCACTCATCGACCCAGAGGGAGTGTGCCTCATGCCGTCAGACAAGAAACTGCGCGAAAGGATTAACGTGTTGGAAGAACAAGTGCGTAAACTACAATAACTCTCATTCGAGGACCCGATGCTTTCACTCAACGCGTGGAGAGTGCGCCTGGTGCAGCCACCACAGTCAGTGCAAAAGCGGAATGTTTTGCGGGAACAACAAGTGCGTGTTCTCAAAGGACCCCCGGTCGGCGAGGAGGTGTTTTCCCGGAAACAAGAAAGAGTGTGCCACGTGCATTCACGGGACGCAATGCGCAAATGGAATGCAGTGCTGGAGGAACAAGTGTATTAACTTTAGAGATTCCCACTCATTGAGAAGGTGCTTTTCTTCGGTGGGAAGAGAGTGCTCCACATGCAGAGACAATCAGAACTGTGCCAACGGAATGCACTGTTTGAACAAGAAGTGTGTCTCCTCCAAGGATCCCCGATCAGCAAGAAGGTGCTTTCCCGTGAACTACGGAGAATGTTCTACCTGCAGGGACAGCAAACAATGTGCAAACGGACTGCAGTGCAGGAAGAACAAGTGTGTGCGCAAAACGACCTCTTCGATAGCGAAGTGCTTTCCAACTAAGAAAACGAGGGAGTGTGGCCAATGCAAACACACGGCGGAGTGCGCCGGCCGCCTCCAGTGTCTGAGGAACAAGTGCCTGTACCCTGGGACCCGATCCACGCGTAAATGCGGGAAACAAGAATGTTGGAAATGCAATCGCACTACCGACTGCTCAAGCGGATTGCACTGCTACCATAACAAATGCGTGCACAAGCATATCCGGTCAATTCGCAAGTGCTTCCCGCTCTCCGATTGTTCAAAGTGCACTCAGAGCTTCGAATGCAAGAGCAAGAGGTGCCTCAATCGCGTTTGTGCTGCCAACATCACCTCGTTTCGCAAGTGCTTCCCGAGAAAAGAATGCGCTGCTTGCACCAAGAGTAGCCAGTGTTCGGCGGGCTCATCATGTTACCGAGGACGATGCGTCAATTTGCGCAGACCTTATGCTGTGGATATTTGCTTCCCCAAGCGTGAGTGCGCTATCTGTGCTGTGAATCATCAATGTGCTACTAAGAGATGTATCAACAAACGATGTGTTTACCCCAATATTCACTCTCACGACAAGTGCCATCGGGTTAAGCAATGTGGATTTTGCGTAAGGCATACTCAATGCGGACGTTTAGGTCGATGCATCAACAAGAAGTGTGTGGTTGGAACACACAGGTATTCGATTTACAAATGCTTTCCGAAGAAGGAGTGTGATGCGTGCCACCACAATATCCAATGCAAGACCGGTCTATGCTACAAGAAAAAGTGTATCTCCAGGACTTTGGCATCCAAGAGAAAGTGCTTTCCCGGTCAGCGCTGCGAATTCTGCAATGCAACCGCTGATTGTGCATCCGGATTTGCATGCCAATTGACTGCCTTGAATGGTAAGAAACTTCCAAGATGCGTGCAACTGATGAATGAACGCGATTCGTGCCGGCTGCCTTGCGCAGTATGCAAGTCTGGCCTCGTGTGCGGAGCGAACAAGAGGTGTGTCAAACGTTTGTCTCCTCGTTGTGGGGGGTGCATAAGGAACCAAGACTGCCAGGCGGGTCTCAAGTGCCAAGGTCAGAGGCACCCCAGTCAACGTGGAAAATGCGTTCAAGAGATAGGCTTGAATACTCGCTGTGATGTGAAATGTTCGGTTTGCAAACGAGGTCTCCAGTGTAGACATGGAAAGATTTGCAAGAAGAGACAATCTGCCAAGTGCGGTAAGTGCTCGAAGGATGATGACTGCAGAACTGGACTCAGGTGCAGGGGCGCGTCTAAGACCAAGCCAGGCAAATGCAAGGAGATTCAAACAGTGGGCAAGTCTTGCCGTGGCGAATGTGATGTATGCAGACAAGGACTTACCTGCCGCGACAACAAGATATGTAAACCACCGCGTGCGACCCACTGTGGTCTTTGCAAGGTGCACGATGATTGCAAGCACGGTCTGAGATGTCAGGCAGCAAAGCGACAAGGCGAGAGGAGCAAATGCGTTCAACTGCTTCGCAAGGGAGCTAAGTGCGGAAAAGGCTGTCGAGCATGTAACAAGGGCCTCGAATGTCGTCAGGGAGTGTGCAAGCCATTGCGGTCAGAGAAGTGCGGGAAATGTATTTCACATGATGACTGCAAACGTGGTCTTACTTGCAAGTTTGTCGGCAAGGAGCGCTTCGGGAAGTGCCATGCTGTGGTAAGTTTCAAAGGTGCTTGCCATGCAGATTGCTCTGTTTGTCAGAGGGGTTTGGAATGTCATCGCGGAAAGGTTTGCTTGAAGCCTCTTAAACAAAACTGTCAACCGTGTTGGAAGCACCAAGAATGCGTCAGCGGTCTATGCAAACCGGGGCCCCATGGTAAACCCGGTCAATGTCTGGCTCGACGCACATTGGGGCAAAACTGTTCTGACAAATGCTCAATATGCATCCACAACCTTGTTTGCAAGAACGGTGTGAAATGCGAGAGGCCCAAATCGGAGCGGTGCGGCCCCTGCAAAAGCGATACGGAATGTGGAAAGAATCTTACTTGCGCAAGCACAGGCACGCACAAGAAGGCTGGACAATGTGTAGAAACTGTTCGGATGTGGGGTACATGCGGAAAGAAGTGCACCCGATGTGAGAATCACCTTACCTGCAAGCATGGTATTTGTCTTGCGCCTATCTTCAGCCACCCCAAGCCTTGACTAGAATTTTGGAACAATATCAACGCGACCTAGAGCGAATTAGTTGCTCTGGGTTGTCCCCTTTTTCCTTTTAGTGGACCTCTTGTTGGATTGGATCGCACCAGTTTTATGAACAACTTTAGGATGGTTGGGTCCCAGTGCAATAATACCTATCACAGTAAACAGTACGCTTGAGTTGGCATGGACTATAATCTGTAGTGCCATGTCATCTCATTTCGTCGCAGCACTTGCTAGCATCTCGCTTCGACTTCATGACTTGTTTGTTTCATGACAAGTTTGGCCGCGACGCATAAGTAGATTTCCTCGACAACGCCATCACAGAGGGCTCGATTCATTTCGCATTTTGTGATGGTATAGCAGTCAGTCGGTATTTTGTAGCAAGTCGAGGAGGTCTACCTAAAGTCACAGTGCATGCAGAAGTGAGGGAAATGAATAAGCTTCTCATTCGTTGCGATCGGGAAGTATCAAAGAAGTTCAATAATGGATGCGGGCCCATACCAAATTGTACCAAAGCATCGCATCGTTCCCTCGTGATTTCACTTGGGTTATGGGCTGGGCTGGCCGGAAGTGAAGATGAACGACGGTAGGAGATTGCAAGTTCCTCTTCTTCTGTGTCGATGACGGGTCGTCATGAGAGTTTATTCATCATCGTATTCAGAGAAAACATTTTTACTGAAGGTACAGGATAGAGATGGCACCCTTCAGGGTGAGGCGTACCACTCCAGAAAAGTATTATTTGGTAAAAAAGGCTAATTTGGTGATTCAGTTCTCTTTGCTCCCATTGTACGAAAGCATGCCGCTGAGGTAAACTCAGTTCGGACAATGGGTACAGTCATTCATCCCTGGACTCCAGGGAAACGCTCTGGGGCTTGGAGCATTCACCACGTCTACAGTTCCCCGCAATGTTGCCTCCTCGTCTTCGAAAAGCTGAAGGAAATTGTCAACAACGAAAAGTCCGCTTCACTTGCAATAAAAGGGGCAGAGATGATCCTAAAAATCATGATAGCGTTAACAAGATTGTTATGAATGCAAGTGCTCCCAGGCCACAAGGACCAAGAGAAAAGAGTCACACGGGCAGAAAAGAAACGATTCAGCCGGGGACGCCGGCAATTTATATGACATTTGGCGATTTTATTGCGCGCAGGAAGCAGAAAAAAATTGAGGAGGAACGGCTACAACGACAAAAGGCGGAGGAGAAGGCTGCCCGGCAAAAACAAAGAGAACTGCAGAAAGAACAGAAAGCAGAAGCGAAAAAGCTGAGGGCACAAAAAAGTCTGGGAAGCATGAAAAGTGGCAAGGCCTCAAAGCCTGTCAGCTCGACCAAGAAGCGGGCACGATCAACTGCGGTTCCAAAGGCACACGAAGGCCCCTCCCCAACGTGCCTCATCTCCTCATCATTCTCCATCAACGTTGCCGCGTCCGCGTTACTTGGTCTTTCTGGTGCAGGTAAAATTTCCAAATAGACCTTTTTTTAAAGGGCGAAGTCCTGAATGGTGGACATATTTACCGAGTAGTATTTAATTGGTAGCATGTCACCCAAGGTGGACATTATCCTTTTTTAAAACTCTGTGTATTGCCACACCAATAAAAGAAAATTCGGGGTTTCTCAGATCCAGTACGGCTAGTGTCTAGACGACCGGCAATTTGCCTCATATGAGGTCAGGCTTGGCCTCATATGAGGCCGGTTTTTTTTGCAAAAATGTATACATTAAATCGAAATTTTATAAAATCAGTTTAGACACCATTTCTTTAACCAATATTCCCTCGGTAATAGCTTCCTGCAAAACATCGGGATAGCAGTTATGAATACACAGAAATACTAAGAATCTAATATAGTTTCAACAATCGGATGATATTTTAAACAGGCGTTTTGGTTTCGAAGATATCAACAAAAAACGTTTTGATGTTCTTTAAAAAAGCTTCTTCTTTAGGTATTCTCAAAAAGCCTGGAAAGGACGTGCAGATCTCACCAAGCTCCACCCTTCCACAGCGCAGAAGGCAACTGCAGTGGCGAGAGTATCTTTTTCCATTTTGTTCAGCTAGCACAAGTCGAGAAAAATTAAGTTGAAAAGTGACCTCATATGAGGCCATTTGTCACCTAGACACCAGAGATTCTGTATCTCCTCCTGGGAGGACTGGGACCAGTTGATTAGCAAACGCAGAGCATCCATCACTACCAGTCTGACCTCATTTGGGCAAGGGGAAGTAGTTTTCAAGTTAATTTAAAAGAGATGTTACCAAATTATACTTTCGGGGAAGGGTACCTACGTCTCATGTGAGAATATCATCTGGTGCGCCACTGCCAGACAATGAAGCACAAACCTAAATCTCATG